TAGTGCAGGAAGGGCACACACAGGGCACAGTGGCATGATGGAACCCTGTTCTGTGAGCTCAGAAACTTGAGTTTAGCTACTGACTTTGCCATTAACTTTGACAAGTTGCTTTATTTTCTGAGTAAGCCTCTACATCCTTGTACATGGAATGGAACATACAAGGGGTTTTCCAAAAGTTCATGGAAAAATGCATCTTGTGAAAAAAAATTTGCAACATAAACTCATACTTTAACTCCATTTTTTTCATGAACTTCTCAAAGTCTCATATTTTACTGCCCTACTTCCTATTTTCCCACTAGGCTGTTATGAGAGTTGCACAATATCATTACTAAAAAAAAGCTTTTTTTAAAGATTTATTTATTCATTCATTCATTCATTCATTTTAATTTGACCAGACAGAGACAGAGAAAGAGAGAGAGGAAAGTGAGAAAGCAAGCCACCAGGTCCAGGACTTGAACCGTGGTCGGCCATGTGGGAGTGTCCAGTGCCTTAACCACCACGCCACCTGCTGGTCCCAAAAAAAAGCTTTTTAATAAAAAGGGCTAAGGGGACCAGTAGATGGCATAATGGTTACATCACTGGACTCCTATATAGTCAACCACAGTTCAAGTCCCGGACCCTGTGGTTTAAAACTCATGCCAGGCACATGTGTGTGCATGCCCAAGATCCCAAGAGTAGAATAGAGGAGAAGAGAGTGTGGTATGGCCATCGCCCCCAGGGGGTGATTTCTTGCTTTCTGTCTCTTTGTCTCTCCAGCAAGCACTTGTCCCCTATAGTAAAAATCTCTCAAAAGAAAGAAAGAGAGAGAGAGAGAGAGAGAAAAGAAAAGAAAGGAAAGGAAAGGAAAGGAAAGGAAAGGAAAGGAAAGGAAAAGGCAAGGGAAGGCAAGGAAAGGAAAGGCAAGGGAAGGCTAGGTATGAGGGGGCAGTCTTATCTTTGAATTTATGTTTCTCTCTCTCCCATTTCAGGCTTGCAATCCACTCCATTGTAATTCTACCACTGATATACTTCATAATTGTAAGAAAGAACCCGTTCCGATTTGCCATGGGAATGGCCCAGGCTCTCCTGACTGCACTCATGATCTCTTCCAGGTAACTAGAAGAGGGGCTTCTGGAAGAAGCCTCTGGGCCAAACTGTATCAACTCTCACCTCACTTGAAACACACTCCAGCTTGTGGTTTTAGTAGCTACCTTTGAGAAATGACCTCCATGTTCTCTGCTCGTGACCCTGAATGTATTTCATCAACCCTGTTGAATATTTCCTGCACCTTTGGTTTTACTGTGCAGCCCAGGAAGGGGGTACAGAGTAATTGGGAGCACTGATGGGTACAGCACTTCCTCATTCTTGGACCTCCAAAAGTGCCAGCACACTTTGGATCCCTTGTATACTCTTTGGAAAAGAGATGTCTCTTCAGGTGGGGACTGGGGACCAATATTTTTAGACCATAAATTCCTTTCCCTTTTTATTGCACAGTTCAGCAACACTACCTGTCACCTTCCGTTGTGCTGAAGAAAACAACCGGGTGGACAAGAGGATCACTAGATTTGTGTTACCTGTTGGTGCCACAATCAACATGGACGGGACTGCACTCTATGAAGCTGTGGCAGCTGTGTTTATTGCACAGTTGAATGACTTGGACTTGGCCATCGGGCAGATCATCACTATCAGGTGAGGAATGGTGTCACAATCATTTTCATCACCATTACTAGGATATAAAAATGGTCTGTGGCGGGAGATCAAGAATGCCCAGTGTTAGACTCTCTCTTGGTCTACAAAGTCCCTTCCCAGAATTAAATACAATGCTATTACAGGTAATATACACATGAGGTGCAAGATTTATACTTCAGGAGCTAGGTGGTGAAAAAAATTACTCTGTGCTCAGCTTACTGCACCCAGTATATACTAGGTGCAGACAGGCACTAAAGACTGAAGATTGAATAAGAGTCAGCCCCTGCCTTTATTCAAGAGATTCCTGGTTGATAATACAGATATCCAAATAAATGCTGAGGGCTATGAGTATGGCATTCACAGAATTTCCTATGGTGGCCACAAAGGGCACAAGGAAGGAAGGGCTGGCTTTACTTTAAAAGGGGAGAAAAGGCTTCCCAGAGGAAGGGAAAGCTCAATGGGATCTTAAAAGAAGAATAAAAATTTATCAGGTAAAGAAGCAAGCTAAGGGCATTTTGGATGGCAGAAATAGCTTGTACAGGGGCTTGTAACATAGCTATGGTATGGTTACAGAACACAGATTAGTTGATAGATTGGTATAAAGATTACACTGTAGGGACCAGCAGTTGGTGTAATGGCTATGTCACTGGACTCCCACGTAGTCTACCGTGGTTCGAGTCCCAGACCCAGTGGCTTAAACTCACGCCAGGCACGTGTGCGTGCATGCCCAAGATCCTGAGAGGAGAATGGAGAAGGGATTATGACGTGGCCATCCCCCCTGGGGGGTGATTTCTCACTTTCTATCTCTCTGTCTCTGTCTTTCTGGCAAGCATACACACCCTATAGCAAAAACCTCTCAAAAAAAAAAAAAAAAGATTACATTGTGGAGAATGTACAGGGAAGAGGAGGCAGGGATCATATCATGAAAGCTTTGTGTGGGGAGTTCAGGCAATTGCTTAGGCAATTTGTCATTTATGGACAGATTTGCATTTTAGAAAGGCAACTGACAACATGGATAGCTTAGACAGGGGCAGGGACTAGTTAGGAGACTACTGCAGAAGTCCAGGTAAGGTATTAAAAGGCCTACAGCAAGGCACTGACATTGGAGATGGGAGGGAGCTAATGAACTGAAGAGGCACCAATTGGGTTCAGGGTGAGGGATAGGGAGAGTCTAGGGTGACTCCCAGAATTGGTTGGTGATTCTGAATTAGTATGAGATTTCCCAGAACAGGGACTGCCATAACAGAGCAGAAAGATGAAGAGCTTATATCAATACTTTTTGACATGTCGAATTTGAAATGCCTTTGGAACTTCCAGTGGAGACATGCAGTGAGAAATGTACATCTGCACTGCAGATACAGAAGTCACCAGTAGTGATCAAACATGTGGGTCACAAGTCAGTTGTCTCTGAATCTCAGTGACACCAAAATTAGCTGTGACCTTGGGTGAGTGGTTTCAATTCTCTAAGCTTCTAAGCTCACCTGTGAAATGAGGATACTAATTGCATGTGAAGTTTACTCAGGTAATCAAGTGATATGCATATAATATGCTTAGAACAGAGTAGGGCAGGCAGGTAGCATGGTAGTTAAGGGCGCTGGACGCCCCACATGGCCGACCACGGTTTGAGTCCTGGATCTGGCGGCTTGTTTTCTCACTCTCCCTGCCCCACCACACTCATCAAATTAAAATAAATGAATATAAATAAATAAATAAATAAAGTTAAGTAAAAATAATTCTTAAAAAAAATTAGTTTAAAAAATGCTTAGAATAGGGCAAGTCCCATGGCATAGTGGCTAAGGGAGCCAGATCTCACACAGTCAATCATGCAGTTTGCATCCCAGCCCCAGAAGCTTGAAAAAAAAACATATTTGGCACATGTGTATGCCTGCCCAAAATCCCAACAGCGTGGAGAGATGGAGGAAAAGGGACTGCAGTGTGGCTACACCCCATCATGGGATACTTTCTTTCTCTTCCTCTCGCATTGTTTCTCTGTCTCTCTGGTGAGTGCATGTACCTTCAGGGCTTATAAACAAAAATAAAAAGATAAAATGCTTAAAACAGTGCCTACCTACATAGTGAGCATGCAGTAAATGTTGAGAATGGGTAACATTACATAGGAAGATTTGATAGAGAAGAGATGGGGATGAAGCACTGAGCCTTGGAAAATGCTCTCGCTTCTCACCTTCCACACATTGAGTGTCCAGGCAGGTCTAGGTGCACAGTAGTGAAACATCTGAATACTCTTAGGGTCATAGTAAACCTCAACCCCCACTGAACTGGTATAGAAAGGGAGAAACTCACCATTATAAATCTAAATCAAAATTCCTTTCTGTTGATACCACATTGTAAAACACAGTAGTAGAGAAACAGGCACAGAAGTACCTCACAGTAAAGTGAAGTATATGAGCTTACAGTAGCAGAAATCTCTAACAAATTAGCCTAATGTAAATATACCACCAAATGACTAAATATCAGAGAAAAGAGTCTGCAAAGTGAGCAGCTGGGAGAAATACAGAGGTGCGGTGAGTGTGGTTCATCTCCTCCCACACATCTCTGAATTCTTAGTTGAAACCACACAGCTCAGCCCAGGTACACCTATTCTCTTGAAACTCTGTAATGTCCAGTTCCACTGACAAAAGTGCAGGTTGCTTGGTGAGCATCAGAGAAACAGAACTGCAGAAATATTGCAGGTCATCTCCTTCTGCATACCTCTAACACTCAGAATCAACTTCAAGAAGGTAGGAAGTAACACATAATCTAACAGATGACCAGAAGCCACCACAAAGACACAAGAAATATGGGAAATCAAGAAAATATCTCTCCCCCAAGGAAAGAGAACAGCCTTTCATCATCCATAAACAGTACAATGGAACTCATGGAAATGTCAGATAAAGAATTTAGGATATTCACAGTGACAAAGCTAACAGAGATGCAAGAGGAGACAAGAAATTCTAAAAAATGGAGGAGAAAAGAGACAACAAGTTCCAGGAGGTGAGGAAGTTCTTCTACAATCTGAAAGAGGAAATACACACCATAAAAAAGAATCAAATGGAACTGTTAGCGAAAAAGGCTCTAATACAGGAAATCAAAACCTCCCTTAAAGTATTAAAAGCAGATTAGATCATGCAGAAGACAGAATCTCAGATGTAGAAGACAGAACCCCTGACCTAGAAAAATTCACCAAAAAGACTAAAAAATAACCCCCCAAAATGAGAATAATATACGAGTAATACTAGATACCATTAGATGCCCAAGCATCTGGATAATTGATATCCTGGAAGATGAAGAAACTAATCAGGGCATTGACAATCTAGTCCATGAAATCCTGGAAGAAAACTTTCCAAACTAAGGAAGTATTTAAATATATAGACCCAAGAAATACAAAGGACCCCACATAGAACCAACCCAAGAAGATCTTCTCCAAGGCACATCTTAGCCAAATTGACCAAAACCACAGAGAGAGACAAGATACTAAAATTGACAAGAGAAAAAGTCAAGTTACTTTCAAAGGATATCCCTAATATTGGACCTCTCATCAGAAACAAATGCAAGCAGGAAAGAATGGGAAAATATATTCAAAGTGTTAAGTGAAAAACAGTTTCAACCAAAAATACTATATCTGGCAAGAGTATCCTTCATATGGGAAGAAAAGATAAAAACATTCTGAGACAAACAAAACCTGAAAGAATTTACCAACACCAGACCAGCTCTCAGAGAAGTTCTGAAGGGAGTACCATACCAGGAAAACTAAAGACACACAGACAAATAAGAGAATAGAAAATGACCAAGAAAAAAGTCAACTTAATGGTAGGGACAATTCTGAAATATCAATAATAATGTTGAATGTTAATGGAAAAGTCAGACCACAGTAACACTGCAAACTCAACAAAAGAGAGATTACATGAGACTGAACTGGTAAAATAGAATTCTATGACGTTTTTCTAAAACATGACTGATTTTCTTCCATGCTTTGTCTTCCAGATTTAAGGATTTTTATTTTCTTTTGAGCTGTTGATAGGTTCAGCAATTTGTTTAAAAAAAAAAAGAATATTTTTTAATTGAAACATAAACTTTTCTCCCTTCCTGACCCCTTTGCAATTGGAAATAATTTGTGAGCATTCTTATTTTGTGGCAGAATGGTTATTTGCATAAGTTCAATAATACAATAGTATCTGCTGTATTGCATCAGAAATTGAATTCTTCTGGAGCTTTGTGCAAGTAACAGACCAAATTGAGATTAACCTAATTTTTCTTTTTTACAAATAAGTTAGTTTATACCTCTCTTTAGTAAAAGTGAATGGAGAGAGGGAAAAAAATGTTTCCCAAGAAAACTACATTGCACCTGTCACTAGATTCTAGCTTTGTCCATACTTTTAGTTTAAGATCTTTTGTGAACAAATAAAATGTAAAAAAAAAAAAAAAAAAAAAGTTTAGTATGGAAGGGAGAGGAAATGGGAAGGAAAAAACTGGTAAAAGTATGCTTAATTTACAAAAAATAAGAAGCTATTCGCTGATGATAATGTATATAGTAATATCTTTGACTGACATGCATGGTATTTGTGTTGGAAAAAGAAATGTATACTGGAAAGACATGATTAAATTTTAATTAAAAAAAGAACTCAAAAAAAAAAAAAAGGAAAACCCTACTATTAGAGGCAGAGAAGAAAGAAATAAGAAGAAAAGTAAGAAAGAATAGAGATGGGGAGCCAGGAAACCATGGTGTCATGAAAACCAGGAGAAGAGAGCTCAAGGACGAAATGGCCCACAGGGTTAGATATTGGAAAAATTTTTAGTCAAATGAGGACTGAAATTGTCTGCTCAAGTAGATGGTTGAAATGTCATTAGTACATTTTGCCAGTTGTTTCCTTAGAACAGCACTGTCCCATGTGGTAGCCACTGGCTATGTGTGGCTGATGTCAGACTGGATTGGAGAGTAGATACGCAGAACAATTTTATTGTGTTGTCAGAAAAGTCATGACACATTTTTGTATAGAGAAACA